GGGTCTCCGGGACATCATTGACAGGTGCAAAAGCCAGGAGGTGTAGTAGACCAGGCAATTTCAAAACAGCAGAGCATTGGGACACACGCTCATTCCCACACACCAAGCTTGTGTACGCACAGATTTTCTGTTGAAGAAGAAAGAGCAGAGGAAAAAAGACAATGAGATTGGGCAGTGTTGCCGCTAGGCGGGAGACTGAGGTGTCAGATGGCCCACTGTCTGCCCTCAGCCCATTTATATGCTCTAATTTTACTGTGATTCTGGCCCTGTTCCCCCATCCTTACCACCTCCAGAGAAAACCAGTTAGTGTACACTCCTCCATGCCAACTTATAGCTGCTCTGTGCGGTCTCTTAAGACAGTAACTTTAAGGAGCCGGCAGCCTCCTCATCTTCCTCATCTTCCTCCTGCAGAGCACCTGGTAGGTTTGAACCACCGACCTTGCGATTAGCAGCCGAGTGCTTAGCCCGCTGCACCACTTGAGGCTCCTAGCCCCATGAATGTTGTTGTTATTGTTAAATGTCATCAAGTTGGTTCCAACTTACAGTGACCCCTTTAGGGTTTCTGAGGAGCAGCTGGTGAGTTTGAACCACCAACGTTGTGTCCAAGTGCTTATCCTATAACCCCATACCAGGACTCTAACCCCATGAAAGTTGTTGTTGTTAAGTGCTGTAGAGTCGGTTCCGGCCCATAGTGACCCTGTATAGGGTTTCCAAAGAGCGACTGGTGAGCTTGAACCGCTGACCTTGCTGTTCATATGGCTTTGCAGACTGGTGCATTAACCCACAGCGCCACACCAGGACTCCTCAGCCCCATGAATAGATGTTACTAAATCGTAGATAGTATATTCTGTTGGATTTTACTTTTTTTAAGTCTAGTCAAATAGTCTCTGCCTTTTGGGTGTTTATGTTCAGTTTTTTATATGGTTGAATTGACATTTTCTTATTTGTTTTCTATACATCTAATAAGTATTTGCTATTTGTTTTCTAATATTTTTGAGTTATTAATGGTGGCTCAAAGAATTAACAAGATACAGTCTAGTTCAGATTAACATTAACTCCAATAGACTATAGGAACTTTTCCTCCAACTTAACTCCATTCCTTCCTCTCCTGTGTCTTATTTTTGTTGCATATATTACATCTATATATATTATAAACTCAATAACATAATTATTGCTTCATAGAATTTTATGTCTCTAAGGAAGTTGAGGAGAAATAAGAAAACGTAATTTCTTTCGAGTGTTATATTTTCACCCACATAACGTCTGGAGTCCTGCTGTGGCGCTGTGGGTTAATGCGCTGGACTGTAAGGTCAGTTTGAACCGCAAGGTCGGCAGTTCAAGCTCACCAACCGCTCCTCAGAAACCCTACACAGGGTCACTATGAGTCAGAACCGATTTGACGGCAGTTAACAACAGCAACACCATTTCACCTTGTACTTCATTTCTCCTTAGGGATTCAGATCATCCTCTGGAGTCTTTTTTTCTTTCTTTTTCCCTCCCCAGCGAAGACCTCAGTCATTTTCCTATCAGGAAAATCTGCTATCAGCATACTCTCTCAGTGTCTGTTTATCTAGTGACACTCTGTTTTGCCTCTGTTTTATTTATTTTAAAGATTTTATTGTGCATTGAATGATAGTTTGCATGGGAGAGCATCAGTTTTGCACTCATCCTATGGTATTTCATATCACTGCAATGATTACAATGTCTTCCGTGCGTCACCATTCAACAGTATTTGCTTCTCTTCCCTCTCTTGTTGTTGTTTTTTTTTTTTTTGTTTTTTTTTTTTTGTTGTTGTTTTTATGTACACAAAAACATTCTGCAAGCACATACTGCAAGCCTGCCTCCTGGCCTCCAGCATACAGCCTTTCTCTTTCCATGAGTCTAGCGTCCTCAGCTGCTCCCTCTCTCCATGTCCTCATCTCTGCCTCCATCTCTGATGTTGCTGCTTCTCTGGATAAGGTCTCGCATTCTGCTCATACTCGTCTCCCTCTGTTCCTGAACTATAAGATTACTCCCTTGCCTCTATTTTTGAGTAATAGTTTTGCTGGGTGTAGAATTCTTAGCTGACCCTTATTTCAGCACTTAGACAATATTATTCTGGCCTCCAATAAGAAGTTGGCTTTCACTATCTTCATGTTCCTCTGTGATGAATCTCCTGCCGCTATCACGATTTGCTGCTTAATGCTGCTGGCCTTTCAGCTGATTGTCTGGGTGCAAATCAATGTATTTATCCTAAGTGAGGCTTATTGAGCTTCTTAGATGTGTAGGTTTATGTTTTCGACTTTCGGACATTACTAGACCTGATTTCTTCCAGTGTGTCCTCTGCTCCTTTCTCTATGCTCCTGAAGCAGTCATCACACATCTGTCCATGCACCTGATGCTAAGCCAATGGTCCCTGAGGCACCTTTCATGTTTTTTCCATCTTTTTCCTTTCTATTCAGATTACATCATTTCTACTGATCTGTCTTCCGAGTTCAGTGTCTCTTCTGCTCTCGTGAATCTGCTCTTGAACACATCTAATGGGTTTTTCATTTCGGTTATCATATTTGTTGTTAAGTGCCCTGGAATCAGTTCTGATTCATAACAACCCTGTATAAGGTTTCTGAGGCTTTACATCTTTTTGAGAGTAGAAAGCCTCATCTTTCTCCTGCAGAAACTGTGGACTTTCTGGTTCGTGGTCCAGTGCTTATCCTATGGAGCTAGCGTGCTCCCTTTGTACTTCACAACTACAAAATCTCCGCTTGTTCTTCATTTTTGTCATCTCTTTCTTGAGCATTTCTGTTGATTTATTGCCATGTTGTTGTTGTTAAGTGCCATGGATGTCGGTTCCGAGTCACAGCAACCCTGTATAGGATTTCCAAGGAGCGACTGGTGAGTTTGAACCACCAGCTTTGTGGTTCAAACCAACCTCGCAGTCCAGTGCTTATCCTGCTGTACCACGCCAGGACTCCACTGTCGTTTTACTTTCTAGTAACTCTTAGTTTTGGGTTGTTGTTTTTTTAAAGTTCTTTGAGCATATCTCTAACGACTACTCAAAATGTTGTCTGCTAAAGCCAACATCCGGTAACATTCAGAGACAGTTTCTACTGACGGCTAATATGTTCAGAGTATGAATTGTACTTTCTTGATTCTTTGTATTTCTCATGTTTGTTTGTTTTTTTGTCAAATACTAGACATTTCAAAGACTGTATTATAGCAACTCGGGATTTTGAATATTTTCTCTCTAAAACTTGTTGCTGTTTTATTTTTATTTTTTTAGTTGAGGCCAAATCTACCCCCTGCACTGATTTCACTGCGACGTCTTTTCTTGGTTTATTATTATTGCTTTTATGTTTAACATGGCTTCCTAGGATCATCCTATGTCTCTCTAGGTTAGATGTGAGCCAATGACTGGACAGAGGTTGAGCTTAACCCCCTTGAGCCAGTAAGCCAGCTGTTTTTGGCTGATCTGTGTGTGGTAGTAAGGGAACGTATTCAATATCCAGGCTGTTTTCAAGTCAGCCTCAGCTTTTATTTTCCATTGGGTCAGTCTGAGTCTCCTGTACACATGAGTCGTCACATCAGCCAGGAAGTGTGTGTCTTGCAAAGTCCCTGTGTGGTTTAACTATCCTTGAATCTGCTTGTTCTAGCCACAGCCGCAGGCTAGGAGAGCCATTGTCCCTCCTTCCTTGAATGGCTTTCCGACTGTCACTTCCACTAAGAAAACCACTGGACATGGACAGCGCCCACTGTCCCAGTCCAGTGAGTGCACATCAACTGTATCAAAGAAGCTCCTTACAGCCAGCCCCAGTTCTAACACAACTTCCTTGTTCAGTGGGCCAGGTGGGGGATGGAAAAAGTTTCAGGCCAAAACACCACAAATTCCCACTGTTCTTAACCAAACCCTTGCGCGTTTTCGTCCTAGATACTGCTCTGATTTTTGTATGTTGTTTAGTCAATTTCCAGGCTACTGAAAGCAGGTTAGTGTTGATGTTGTTGTTGTTGTTTCGATTTTATCCTTTTAGGTGAGAGGATTTGTGGATCTCTTCATAGTCAAAAGATCCCACTTCTGAATACTGTCAGATTGACTTTCAAAAATGATGTAGAATGGATACCCCAAGGGCATGAATTTTCTCATTGAATACCCCATACTGGAAATGATAAACAGTCGATTTGCCTCAGCATTTGAAAGCATTTGGGCCCCCAGGAGTTTGGTCCTAGTTGATGGAAGTATGTTCATTGTGACATTAATCCAACGGGAACTCAGTATTTGGAAAATCAAGCTGTGTTTATAGGTCAGGGCAGCCAGAATAGTATGTGCTGTGTGGTTGTTATTGTTAAGGGACGTCGTCGAGTCCGTTCCAACTCATAGCAACCCTGTATAGGGCTTCTGAGGAGAGGCTGATGAGCTTGAACTGCTGGCCTTGCGGTTTAAACCAACCTTGCAGTCCAGCGCATTAACCCAAAGCGCCACAGGTGCTCAAAAAATATTTGATAAATGAATAGGTTACCTGACTAAGCATATTCTTAGGTTTTTAAAAAAAAAATCACAAATTTCAGAACCATGTGTCCTGACCCCAGTTATGGAAAACTCTCTGTCCCCACCCTCCAGAAAGCAGTCTTTTTTCTTTCATGTGTAGGCATGTATGTTTCTGATGTCTAGAAAAAGGTTAAGAAGGAACCACAACCATGGTTACCCGAGAGAGTTGAACAGGCCCCCTACCTTCAGCTCTATAGGTTTGTCCCAGAGAAGGGAGTCCCCGGGTTGTACCCACCCACAAGGGTGCCTTCGTTAGATTCCCACGGAGCACGGAATGTGCCAGCCAGGAATTTCCAGGGGGAGATGGCAACCACGCAGACGCTTTCTGTTTTCCCTCTGCAGCTGTCTGTGTTGCTGGGATTTTCCATGGTAGCAATGGATCACGCGTCACTTTTAGGGATGAACTGTTCTGTTTCCCAAATCAGATCTGCCCAGTGTAGAATGGGTTTGATTTTGCGTTTCTTTCATTTTTGCTTTGCAGCGACATGGGCTCAAGGGCTGACTACCCTGCTCAGGTTTACAAAACTGCCAGCACAGAGACTCCTCGGCCCTCACAGCTGGCCCAGCCCAGCCCCTTCCAGCTCTCTGCCTCTGTTCCCAAGTCCTTCTTCTCCAAGCAGCCTGTGCGCAATAAGCACCCAACAGGGTGGAAGAGAACGGACGAGCCCCCGCCACGGCCACTTCCCTTCACTGACCCAAAGAAGTAAGTGTCTGGACACCCAGCTAGTCACCTGCCAGAGTTACACCTGGGCATCCCTAGGGCCCGGGAAAAGGCAGTGCCAGGATGCAGCCATGAACCTGACCGAGAAAGATCCCTGCCCTTAAGGAACCGATATCCTGCTTGGGGAGGCGGACAGTAAGTAGGTAAATAAGAAAAAGAAAAAGTAAATCAGCTGCATTAAACACTATGGTATTGGAGGCAAAGACCCTGAGACAGCAACGTGGTTGGCCTGTGAGAGGAAGGCCAGTGTAGTAGGACCAGTGTGAGCAAGGGAGGAAATGTGGGACATGGGGGCAGAGCTTGTCAGATCCTGTGGGCCATTTGGATGGGCTTGGCCTTTTTTTCTGAGGTGGAGCTACAGAAAGCTCTGGCAGCGAAGAGGGACTACCAGCTGGTCTAAATGGGGTGATGTCCTAATGTCCTAGGGCTGCTGAACCCAGGTCCACCCACTGCGTGTTGTCTTACAGTCTCACTCACGGTCGAAGTCCAACCCCATGGTGTTGGTCAGGCCCTGCTCTCTGATCCTCACCTCTTTCTGCCCTCTGGTGGTTCCTGGCGATCTTGAACTTGCATCACTCCAATCTCTGCTCCATCATCACAGGGCCTTCCGCCTGCCTGTCTCTCTCTACTTGTAGCGATCCCATTCCTTATTGGATTAAGGGCCCACATCTGCAGTGACCCAAGGGGTCATATTCTGAAGTCCCAGGAAAGATGAGGATTTTCAATCCAGTACAGGTATCTTCAGCATAAAGCTACGTTGCTGAAGAGCTCAGCAAAGGAAGGAATGTGGCTACAAGGGGAGAAGCTTAGGACTGAGCCTAGAGCAAAGGAGGTTGGGAAGGAGCCGCCTGTGAGGTGGAGAAGCCCAGGGAGCCCATTAGGGGCGAGGTCAGATCAGAGGAGCCCAAAACCGAGCACAGAACAGAGCCTCACAGAAGTCACACTCCCAAGGGTCCAGGAGAGATGGGGAGTCAGGCATTGGAGTCTGCAAGTAGAACAGCTTGTTTGCTGTAAAAAGGAAGAGACAATCTCAGGTTAAGAGAGTTTTGTGTTTAGGGTAGAAAAATAAAATGGTTAATGTTTGTTGAAGGAGCCCTGTTGGTACCATGGATTAAGCATTGGGCTGCTAAACCCAAGGTCGGAGGTTCAAATCCACCAGTTGCTCCTTTGGAGAAAGATGAGGTGGTCTACTCCTATGAATGTATAGCCTCAGGAGCCCTATGGGGCAGTCTGGTCTGTACTGAGGGTCCCTGTGAACTGGAATTGACTCCGCTGAGGTGGGTGGGTTTTGATGTCTAACATTTACTAAGCACTAAACACATGCCTGGTGTGGCGTTGCAGGATCAGCACTGGGCTGCAAACTGTTAAGTTCAGCAGTCCAGACCCACCAGCTGCTCCCTGAAAACCCTATATAGGGTCATTATGAGTCAGAATGACTTGTTCTCCCCACTTTAGAGATGAGAGGACTGAGGCTTAGTGTCACGTGCAGGTAAGGGATGGAGCTCAGACCTGAGCCCAGGTAACCTGGTCATGGGCCCCCACTCTGTGGGGTTTGTGGGACTCTGCTCACCTTCACCCTGTTCTTTCATGCCCCGGATGAAGGAACAGCAGCCGGCTGTTGAGATTTGTGTATGATCCTGAGCGCAGAGGGAAGAGAGGTGTCAGAATGCGGAACCCAGGTCCCCAGGGCTATGGGCAGGCAGGCTGCTGGTGTCCTGCTGAGACTCCAGGGCATGAACCTCCCACTGTCCAAGAGGAGGGACTTCTGAGAATTCAGCTTAAAACTTCCAGCATCTTCCCACTGCTCCCAAGGGAATGCCACCCCAGTCACCCCAGATCTGTGATTAAAGATCACACTTGGAGCACACAAGTGGTACCAGGCATCACGGCACCATGTGCTTCGCCCAAACTCCCCCAGACCCTGTACCATCTGCCCTTCAGTACTCGGTCCTCATCTTCTCCCACTCTCCCCTCACTCCCTCTGCTCCAGCTACACTAGCCGCCTACCACTCCTCAGACATGCCAAGTATTTGCCCATCCCCGCAGGGCCTTTGCATGGGCTCTATTCCAGCCTGGTTTTCTCTCTCCAGATCTGCTCCCACCTAGCTCCACCAGGACTCCGCTCTGGCACCACCTCTTCTTCCTCCTCCTCCTCCTCTTCCTC